TGTACGAAATTATTATTTGATTGAACCAACTTTTATGGTCTAAAAAATTCTTTTGACTAACTAGAGAGAATTATAATATAGAATATATGTTTGTCATTTGGTTTGTAAAGCACCATGCTTCAATTAATTTATTAAATGCTAATGAATATTTTTAAATATTTATTTTAAAATTTACAGTAATTTATCTTGCAGCAAATGTAATATATCGTATATAATATAAAATATAAATATTTTCTTAGAATAACAGAAATTTGTAGATAATTAATAGTTTGTATTTATTGATTACATATCATATAATACTAATACAAGACGCTTATTTTTAGAAATGTAATGTTCCTCATGATAAAAATATCTTCCCTTTGGTCCAGAGCTATTATGTGTTTAGGAGATTATTAGTATTCATGAGCTGCCTCATTGCAAAAGGGTGCACAGGGCTATGAGTGGTGCTGCAGTCGGCAGGAGAGAGGGGAAGCTCAGTGCCTTGTGCTGCTGGGGGCCCGGGCTTCTGCTGGAAGCTTCAAGTTGCTGCAACTGCCTGAAAAGAGCTCACAACATCATCTGCACAGCAAGGGATACAGGGCATCATTTATTTACTCATGGCTTGCATTCTTGGGAAAATGGGTGGAGGAAAAATGAGGGCTTATGAAAACAAACACCTAAAATATTTTTTTGTACATCATCAGTAATTCTAAGTGAATGAGGGAAATGCTTTTATTTTAACAATGACCAATCAGTTCAGATTTTTTCTTTGAAAGGATTTACTTCCAGATATTACATAGGTGAGTTTATGGACAAGTATTTTTCTAGCTTTCTTACCACTGTGTTACTAACTTTCTTTTTCAGGTGGATTGTGCAGGTTTTTTATGTAATTACTGAGAGATCCTGAGTATATGTCTATATACCAATTTTCTCAGATCAAATTATTTTTCCAATATACTTTTATGGATCTTGAATATGTGTATAGTAGTTATCTGTACATAGAAAGATATATAATGATGTAATACAGGTACTTGGCTTGATTTCAGTTCTAAATAGTTGAGTGTGCTGTACTTTTTAATTTAAGCAAGTATTATCCACAATGCTCTTTTAGCATGCTCATCTTATAAAATTTCTTTCAGGGTTAATTTTATGGTATCTTGTAACTCAAACTACTCTTTGATTAAGTTTTTTTGTCTTAAAAGCTCATTCTTCATTCCCACAGATGCAACTTTCAGGTAGGGGCAGCTTGCATAATTGAATGTGTTGCTTTCTTTCATAACTCTGATGGCTGACATGTGAATACAGTCTTGATGTCTTGCGTAGTTCAGGTACAACTTTAGATGGGATTTGTCTCAACTGCATTAGTTTTGGCAGGAAATAAAAGCATTTTTCTCAGGGTGGAAGGAGCAGTGTCTTCCCTGCTGATGCAGGAACCTGGGGGTAGTGTCTGACACCAGTGTTGGGCAGGCTCCTCTGCTCTTGCTGGGGTTACAGGGAGGTTTTCTTTAGAAGTTAAATTAAATAAATTTTTAAAAAGTTAAGGATCCATTGGCTCTTCTTCTATGCTGAATATCTGTTAAGTAATACACAGGCCCATTTATGTCTGTAACCATTCTTAATATGCACAATTATGTTGTTATGGCTGTAATTAGAAGTACTTAGAAACAACATAAGACATTTGCCAAACTATTAATCAGAAGAACTGCTAAAGATCATAAAGTAATTGTAAATAAAAATTTAGTGAATTAATTAATTTATGACTTAATGGACTATATGAATAAATATGTTGCTCTTCATAATACTGCTACAGAAAACAATATTTATTTATTGTGTTATGATAACTAGGTTTAAATATAATTTAATAATTTACTAATTTTAGCCACAAGCCTGCAAAAACTTGCATCTGCATTTAAATGAATGTGCTAATAATCCCAGCAAGTCTGGAAAACAAAATAAAAATTTAGGTATGTTATCAAAACAGCTAAGTGCAAGGGGATGTATTCATGCAGGTCCTTTTCTTGTTTGTGCTTCATAAATGAAACTCTAACACTAGTGAATAAAGCAAGAGTGTGAGTTAGGAGCTTTTTCTTCAAGTGATAATCAGTAATAATGGCAAAACATTGTTTTAAGAGTAAAAACACAGTTCTAAGAGTAATCAATTAGATGGTATAAGAATGCTGAATTTTAAATGCTCATTCTTTTGAGACTGTTTCAGTTAATGAAAAATAAAAAAATAGCACAGGGATTAGATGAGCACAAAGAAAACTTAATCTGTTTGCTTTAACAAGAGGAAGTATTGGGCAGCTGTAAGATCCTTGGTCCTATCCCATTATGCCCACTTCTAGCAAATTAATAGCTATTTTGTACTAGTACACTGGAACATATTTCCTAGGAAAGTAGGACTTCATATTTGCAAGGTAAAAACAAGTATAAAATTAATTTGAATTCTAAATTTCTCTGGGTTTTTTTCCAATTAAGATAAATATTCTAGTTCCATTGACCTGTTGCAAAGAATCAGAAATGAAACTTATATGAGTTTTTGAAAAAAGTGATTTTTTTCTATTATTCAGAAACTTTCCCTGAATTAGTGAATTCATACATCAAAAATGTTTTTTTTCAAAAGTTATAATACTATCTTTTTCTTATTTCTCAGCTGATGGACATCACTGGCTCCTAAATACATATTAAATAAAGTGAGATTAGAGAGCATTTCAGGTAAATTGTAAAAAAAATTAAAAAAAAAAAAGTGAAGGCTGGCATAAAAACATCGTTATTTTGGTATTTATTATATTCATAAACACCTGAAATTCAGTAGAACAAATTCAATAATATGGTAAATAATTCTTTATTTGCATGGCAGATTTTATAGTCCATTGAACTTTACTGCTGGAAATTATAGGTTTATAGATTAGCATGTTAGCAAAGCACATGCCATTGTTGGCAACGTAGAAACAGTCACAGAAATACAATTCCCAGTGCTGTTGGAAAGAAATTATCCATGTGGAAAGGAGTTGTCCATGTCTAATCAAAGTAGGAAGTAGAGTCCCCCAAAGTGAGGCCTTTGAACCTTAAAATAGTGAAATGTCTCTTGCTCCAGAGAAGAAACCAATTAACAGTGTTGCCTTCTATCCCCCTACAGGCCTTTTCTTTGATAGTTGTGTATATATGTGTGGAAGATGGTACTTTATGAGTTTGGTTTTTTTTTTTTCCATCTAAATTTCTTCCTAGAATGATTAATATGTTTGTGGTTTTGCTCACATTTATGTGAGTGTATGGTGGGGAGAATGGTGATAGAACACAAAAGAATTCTACAAGAAAACTTTAAAATAAAAATGTCTTCTATTTTTGCCTTTCAAACCCAAAAGCCAGTCAATAAAGTTTCTCTGGGACAGGAGGGAACACGACAGAACCTATTTTAAGTTCAGTGTACCTCAGGTAGTCCACTAAAATGTGTTCTTGAGTACTTTGGTGCATCAAGCAGCTTGTTCTGTTTAATGGCGTAGGTGGTTTTTTATCTGAGCTTGACAGGAGCAGATTCTAAGTGCTGAAGATGGTTAAAAGCCTATGCAGAGGTTGATAGTGATCTTTCTATTAAGTGTTGTCTAGTCAAAGACTTAACTTTTCCAACTTCATTTTCAAAGAATAATGTCTATTTCTATGTTCTTTTACCTATGGTCACACATTAGTAACCCTTGGAAGCTGCCAGTAAAACAGGGCTACACCTTTTTAATTATAGTTTAGGGATACAATTTTTTATACTTTCCTGGATCTGTCTTGGGACAGGACTGATTCAAGCTCCAGCAGGGCCAGATCCATAGGAAGTTACAGGATATCATATTTTCTCCCATTGACCCCTTTATTTTTCCCAGTCTGATTTCTTATCTGTCTGAAACTTGCATGACACAAAAAAGCCTCTAACCCCACTCTAATTTTGACTGGGGGAGAGGTAGTGAGGGGTGATGGGAATGGGGGACAGGACCAGGCCATTCCATCTGCTGGGGAGGGAACTTGCTGGGAGCAACTACAGGGCTATTGGTTTACAAATAAATTTGACTTCAAAATACTGAAAAACTGAAAAAAAATCCTAAAACAGCATGCTTCCAGTAGGTCTACTATTCAGCAATACAAGGTCAAGGAATTTCCTACATTCTTGGCCAGTTTAACAACTGCATCTGAAGTGAGTCCAGCTGCAATTTAAATTTCTGTCTCTGCACAGTGACAACTAACTTTATATTGCCTTTAGAGCTAGGGCATTGCTTGGCCACAGCAGACCTAGGACTGGGTATTAGCATGTCCTGTGTGTATTTGAGACTGTTCTCTAAACTGTGTGAATACATTATCCTGCCTCTATACAGTGGAGCAGAAAAAAGATTTGTATAGAAACATTCAAATGCAATTCAATGCAATTCAGCTAAAGGAACTCATACAGAACTGCCAGAGTGATTCATTTTTCTGTCAATCAATGAAAATTCTAGTGGGTTATTAGGGATTTTGCCTCAAAATTATTTTGCTTTCATATTGTGATTATTGCACTTACCTCTAATGAAGTGAGAGACTGAAGACCTAAAAATACTACATATTACATGATCTCTTTGAAAAGTATGAAAATTTAGATGATATTTTTATTTCTGTTAGGTCTTTGGTGAACACCACTGATAAGATGAATGTGTTAAACTACTGTCCCACGATAATTTTCTTTGGTTGTAAAATTACTGTTTTATTTGTTTCTGTATTGTGGGGATATAGACAGGAAAGCTTCACATAACTTTTAAGTGTCTCTCTGTTGCTCTGAAAAACATGGGGAAGTGGTCATTTTATTTGTTCCCCTCAAAGTGGAGGACAAACAATAGCATTGGAAATACGTACTCCGAGGAGCATCAGATTAAACTTTTACTTGTGAACCAAATAAATGGAAACATATCAAGACTTAAAATTAATTTAGTGATTAAAAAATAATAAGGCTTTTGGAAATGCTGTTACACAGACAAATTAACATGTTTGTTTTTACTTTGTAACTGTAGTACATTTACTCCTAAAATGCAAGGCAGACGGATGGGGACTTCAGGGAGAATCACAAAGAGCACAAGTGTGAGTGGAGAGATGTACAAGCTGGAGCACATTGACGGCAGCCAGTCGGACACGGCCGTCGGCATGGTCGGAACAGGTGGGAAGAAAAGGCGCTCCAGCTTTAGTGCCAAAGTGGTTGCCATAGTGTCTCGAAGGAGCAGAAGCACATCTCAACTTAGCCAAACAGGTGAGTGAGGCACACAGTCTTGGAAACAGGACTCTCACCAAACGTGGTTTACCATAATTTCATCTGTGGCATCTGCGTTACATGTATATGCATATAGACTCCTCAAGAGATATTTTCCAGCTGTAAATAAACTCCTGATATATTAATTTTCTTTGATTATTTAACATCTGCAAGAAACAATATACAAATGTCTTTTAGAATACGTGCTGTAGTTACTTTCTGTTGTGATCAATGAAAACTGTTGTCTTTTAGAAGCCTTGTTTACAGGTAGGCTAGGAAATGCAAAGAGACACATGTTGGTATCAGCAGTGAATAATGGTTTGCTAAGACCAGCTTTTTATCTGTAGGAAATTTCTTTCAGCAGAAGAGTTGAGTGTGAATGTGGGAACTGAAATCTGAGCAAATGAATGGCAGTTATGCAACTTGAATCAGAGGTTGTACCTGTAGTGGCATAAAATACATTTTTAAAAATTATTTTTGTTTTTTAAGTTGAGAGTTAATCCAATACTTTATTTTTTTGTAAGTAATACTGGCAAGTTGGGGTCAGTGATTTCAGATAAATTAGATGACAACATGATGCTTCATTAGGAGCATAAGCCTTCCAACTCTTTATTGTGACTCCAGAAATCTTAAAAGCTTCATATCAGCATAGCCTCCAGGAACAAAAGCCCATACAGAAAGATAAAAAAGGGAAGAAGAATGTTTTAAAGTCCCTGTCCTGCTCCTGAACCCCAGTGAAGACTTCTGCTTTTGTCTTCATTGGGAGCAGGACCTGACCCTAAGGGTCCTTTCTTACTAAGAGAAGGAAAACAAAGAGGAAAAGCTTCAGCCTAGCATGCAATGCACTCATATTTCAGCATTCCTCTCACATAATCAGGGTATCTAAAATAAGGTAAGTAACAATATTGTTTATTTATATCATCAAATATTTCCCCCCTTTCCCCTGGTTTTCTTTAATTGCCAGATGAGCAGGAGAATTGATCCTTTCACAAGGAAAGCTTGGTCAGTTATAACAAGAAGATTGTTATACACTACTCTAAGATCTGTAAGATCTCTACACTACTCATGAATTTTAAGTCAGTATATAATCATGCAGTTGAACCAAATGATAAATGAAACTGAAGCCCAGAACTGTAATTAATATTGTGTTGTTCAAGAATGCACGGTGACTATGTATGAGACTGGAATATAGATAGTTGTACACAGTAAAATGCTATTTTAGATGTAGCAGAATCAATGGTGTGCTCTGTAAGTAGTAAAAAGTGGTGTTGTCATGTAGAAAGGATTTCTGATATTTTAATCCACTTAAAATCTGAGCTGTGACTTCCAAGCACTTCTCAGTATCTTCTATTTAAAGCTCATATTTTCCTAATCTTCGTCGAAAGGTACTATAGCTCTCCAAGTTTTGCTTGATGTAAATTTCAAAACAATAGGAATTTTGCAAGGAATGGAACTTCTAAAGTTTTCCTGAAACTCAAAGAGCAAATCAAATATGAAAAACATGATTATGTATTATTCATGATTGTAAACCAGTTCAGAGTCATCTTTACCTTGTCTTGTTTTGACTCAGGCTAAGAGTATTATCTATGGCATCATCAGAGCAAATAAAAATGTGTCATTTTTTGTCAGTCACTAATTTTGAGTTTTGTCAAAAATCAGTGAATTAAATGAATGCATTTTTTTAGAACAATATGCACATTGGACTTGATAGATTTTCCCAATGACATTGTTACAGGCTAAGTGCTCATGTTCTAAATCAGGGACCCACTTCCCTTCCTTCCTATATTATACAAGATGAGAGGAGAAACATAAAAATGTCTATTTCATTTTAATGTGCTGTACAACTTACTAATGTCTCCACTATTGAGAATTATAGAAAATTTCTGTTATGACAACATAATGTATACTGGGTACTTCTTTAAAATTTATTATGTGAAAACTATTTCTCATAGTCAAGGTCTGAAGTTTTGGAACTGATGTGAAAATTTATGGGCCTCCAAAAGTGGTAACAAGTAGGAACTTTTGGGACAGATTTTCAGGAACTGGAGGTGTGCTGTTGATGCAGTATATGTATTTTAAAGGGAGTATAAAAATATAGAAGTAGATGTGTAGCCTCCATAGGTTGTTCAGGTTTTATTTCTATGACTTGCATGATTATAAGCAAGGGAAGCATGACAAAGATAGTTACTTGTTTCTGAAAACTCAAAATAGAAGATCAGAAATAAAAAAGGCAGATTTTTTTGAAAAGAAATATAAGTTCTATATTCTTATGGATTGAGTAGATCTGAAATTCTAGTTTAGTGCTGTCTTCAAAGCCAGTAAATTTATTACCATCTCACTTTTTTCACTTGAAGAAATGGTCCAAAAGGGCTGCATTTGACTTATTGTAGATAATTCTTCCTTTTAACATACTGCATGGGCTTGATGTTATATAAAAATAGAAGTGGTGTGTATGGAACTGCTGCAAGGTAGCTGTTATTGATAGAATTTTATTTTCTATTCAGCTGAAAAAGAAGTGTGTGTGTGTGAGCCTGTGCATACATGTTTGTGTCTACACATACACCCATGGATTTCTTTGCACATATGGAGCAGATCCTTGCATGTTGAAATTAGAAGGACCAGTAATCATTATTTTACACACCCTGTTCCATGCTGTTGGAAAATATTTATTCAGAATATGTGCCTTATAGATGGTCAGTGAAAGAGTTGGTTTCTATTTTTATGTAAATCTGCAATGAAATTATGTATTTTTGATGCACCTTCCTTTTATGTTTAAGATTTCATAATACTTGTAGTGACTGTTCTGTGAAATCCCTACTTACTATGTATTTGTTCATTGCGCCCACAAATTGGGTAGATTAGACAGTTCACCAGAAAAAGCTTTTAATCTTCTGATAATATTCCTAATGAAAATCCAGCTCTTCTTATGTTATCACAGTTACAAGGAAGAAAAGGAAAAGGGAAGAAAAAAGAAGCAAAACTCCCAAAATGACCACAGGAAATTGAAAATAGCTCCAGGCATACATAACCATTTTAGCTGTAATCCAACTTTCCTGGCTTTCTTTGTCAGCCTTATTTTGGTAAATAAATATAGACATATAAACAGAATAAATATGTAACTGCCAATTTTCTGAATACAGCAAACTAAACTTTAAATCACAGGAAAATTATAGGAAACTAGATTAGAATTAAAAAATCATCATCAGTTGTCTTGATTTTGTGTTACAACATTATTCCCTTCTACAGAAAATCTTACCTTGTAGTTTCTGTATCAACTGAGGCCAGTATTGATCATACCACATTGTGATTTGGGGTTCTAGGTTTGTTTTGAATGAGATGAAAACTTCTGTAATAGGAGGGAAGAATTTTATCAAAGAATTTGTACCATATATAGAGACATAATAATGCATTTAGAAGTGGATAGAGGCAATGGGGGGGTGGGTATCATCATTAAAATGAGTTCTGGAGAGAAGGAAAACCTTATTCTCAGATAAAAGAGAATCCTATCCCTGGATCCTAAAAGATCCTATCCCTGGATCCCTCTCAATTCTCCTGGTACATGCAGACATGTGCCTTAAGAAAGCAAAAGAATTCCTCCCTTTTGCTTTCTACCCCCTGGTCAGAAGATAGTGCTTCAGAAAGACCATCTTTCAGAAAGATCACCTTTCTTCTTTGTAGAAGCACACTCTTCTTCTCTTTGAGTGCCAACAGTGCCTTGCAACTATTTTGACACAGATGAGAGTGGAAGAGATGCAGAGAAGGAGAGCTAAGGAGCTTAGAAGAATGGGCAGCATTTCTAGTTTGACATTACACTGATACCAGGTCAATTTTGTAAATGAACATCCCTTGCCATGTTAATGGTGTGAACCACAATGAGATTTTTCTGTATAAGAACCAAAGTTACTAGCTTTCCATCTTCTGTTGGTGAAGTTCAACATCAACAACCTGAAATGAGGCCATAGGCATTAATGTTTCAAAGACAGATTGCATACCATGGAGCAGAGCTGAAATCAAGTGTTGTCACAAGGTGAAAACAGAATGAAGAAAAATTCTTTTCACTTATCCTTGTCTCTGAAGTGGATACTTGGAGTGAATCGAAGTGTTTGTCTGCTTTCCTCAGGAAGTAACTTGCTACCTGAGCAAAAACACTATCTTAGAACATATTTCCCTATATAAAAACTAGAATTTCCTGCTAAAGTATATTTTCTGCCATTTTCTTTAATTTATCCTATAAAGAAATGGGCTTCTGTAGTCTTTTGAATTAAGCTCCAAATTCTCAATTTCAGATAAGATAGTCTCATCTAAGTGAGGAAATTGTCACTGAGCAGTAAAGTTCTGATAGTTGTGCATTCCACAGTATAATAGTTGTGCATTCCACAGTATATCTATGCTCTTTTTGTGAGCTCTCTGCAGCTCAAAGAGCTCTTCCTCATCCAGTTGATTGCCCCACGTTTCACCTTCCAAGACTGGTCTCAAGGTGGCTTTCTCTCATGGTTGCTAAGTTAAGATAAGTTGGTAAAGTAAAGATTCAGAAAATCAAACCTCATCCATTACTCTGTTGATGGAGACTATGATGGTTCACTCGAGGTACCTAGTGACTGTTAACAAGCACCCCTATGTTGTGCAAAAAAAACCTTGCTTGGGGAACATGGAAATTTAAGCAAAGCAATGCTTAGATTGAGCCTTCCAGGCTCAGAGTACCTAATTTCAGAGTAGACACTGCCATTAAAACAAACACAAAACAAAACCCAAAACCAAACAAATAAACCAACAAAACAATCAAAAACCAAAACCACACATTCCCACCCCCACCCCCCAATCTGTTAATCTGTTCTTAATTTTCTCAGTCTTTTTTTGTTTGGAAATGCTGCCAGAGTTATTTTTCTGTCCATCCTTGTAGTAATTTTATGAGAGATAAATGAGAGATACAATGAGAGATAAATGAGTAGGTACAATGAGAGATTTCCTACTGATCTAGATGGTATGGACAGAAAAAGCAG